TTGTTTGAAGTGATGAAAGCCATAGACATCACACCCGACGGCATAATCGGCCACTCGTTTGGTGAGATCGCCTGCGCTTACGCTGACGGATGTCTGTCCACAAGGGATGCTATGATTGTCACGTATTCCAGAGGAATGACTGAAAACGATAAACAAATCCCAAAGGGTTTGATGGCAGTCGTGGGTCTCTCTAAGTTTGAGACCAAGAAGTTGTGTCCGAAAGGGGTATTCATTGCCTGTAATAACGCTAAAGACTCTGTAGTTGTGTCCGGTAATTATTTTTTACATCATATTATTTTAGTTATAAATAATATTGAATTTTATTTTAATTGACTTTTAGGTCCAATGAATGAAATGAAAGAAATGATGAAAACATTGGAAGAAAAGGCAGTATTTGTTCGACGACTACAGAGCAGTGAAATCCCATATCATTCACAATATCTCATATCCAGTGCACAGCCNTTAGGTCCAATGAATGAAATGAAAGAAATGATGAAAACATTGGAAGAAAAGGCAGTATTTGTTCGACGACTACAGAGCAGTGAAATCCCATATCATTCACAATATCTCATATCCAGTGCACAGCCTATGACTGACGCCATCAAGAAATACATACCTAATCCTAAACTTCGGTCCAGGAAATGGTTGTCCACATCAGTAGTGTCAACAGATATCAATGAATCACTCAAATATGCATCGGCCGAGTATTTTACATACAATCTCCTTAACCCGGTTAATTTCTATGAAAAACTACTCGAACTGCCCAAAGATGCCGTAGTCCTTGAATTGGGTCCGCATTCAGTGTTCAAGAAAGTGGTGACCGAAACACTGGACAACTCGTCGTACGTATCGCTCATTAAAAAGGACTCAAACGATACAAATCTGGATATGTTTTTGTCCGGATTGGCAACANGTTCAAGAGTGCGGTCACTGAAACACTCGACAAATCTTCCTATGTATCGCTCATTAAAAAGGACTCAAACGATACAAATCTGGATATGTTTTTGTCCGGATTGGCAACACTTTACGAATTGGGTTACAATCTGTCGATCGATAAACTCTACCCACGGGTAGAGTGGCCGGTGCCGAGGGGTACGCCGTCTATTGGATCACTCATTAAATGGGATCACAGCGTGGAGTTAACCAAGAAAATATACCCTGATAAATATTGCAGATCTAATGCCGCCGATATGAATATTATCGTAAATTGCTCGTCAAAAGAGGACGAATTTTACCTGGATCACTGTGTGGATGGGAATGCCATATTACCGGGTCAGGCTTATCTAGTGATGGCTTGGCGCAAGTTAGCCGCCACCCTGGGCAAAGTTTGGCATAAAGTGCCCGTTGTTTTCGAAAATATCCAATTTAAACGTGCCGTACATTTATCCCGGGCAAACAATGTTAAACTCACTGTTAAATACTATTCCCAAACCGGTAATAGTACCAGTTTATTTTTATTACGATTAAAATGGCTACTATTATAATTATTGTTATTTATGGCATAGCTGACTTTGAAAGTTTATTTTTATTTTTTAACTGTTATACACTATTTGTCCAAACCTAGATGATTTCTCTGTATACGAAAACGACAACCTGTGTTGTGTGGGCAAAATCAGGGCACCGGGCGATGACGTACTCATATCGCAGCACATGATATACGAGAACGAGGGAAAGTTATCGGACTGCGAGTACACACTGGAAAGGGATGATATCTATAAGGAGTTGCGTATTAAAGGTCTCGATTACGGGTCGGAGTTTACGCGACTCCTAAAGTTTGGCACAAATGATTTCACCGATGTTTACGGTGTGAACGAGTGGACGGGCAATATTATCACATACCTGGACGCCATCACACAGTTGCCAATGTTGAGACTACCGTTCCGTAAGATGGTGGTGCCGATCATGATTCGCGAGATCCGGATCGACCCCCGGGTGCTATTTGACGCCATTAAGCGTAATAAAATCGACGATACAGTCACCCAGACCCCAGATAATGATGTTCTACGGGATGCTGAGGTCAAGTTAGATAAATTTATCAAAATAGACCCTGTTGCTGATATAGTGGACAGGGATGACACTGGTGAATTGGGTGGAATCGCCTATCACGATAGCAAGGATAAGGAACACCACCGGGAAAGGTTTGCCCACTACTGGGCTAATATGCCCATGTATTTCAGTGAGGATACCAGGGTTACGGTGACCCATGGGGTAGAGATGGGGGATATGGTGTGTGTGCCCATCACTAGACGTGCGGACACAACGGACTTAGTGTTAGACTCGTATGAGTTCTGCGCCAACGATGACATACATGCCATCGATGAGACCATAGCCGCCAATACTCGTCAATATTTAGAGGTTTGTAATTGTTTTGTAAACTTATTTGTATTAAAAGTATATTTTATGTTATTTTTAAGGTTTGCAAAGCAATGGCCGTTAAAGTGAAACAAATGGGTTTCAAACAAATGAAATGCGATTTCAATTATCAGTCGATTAGCGATGAAGTGATAGAAGAGTACAGAAATGCAAACAATGAAAATCATGTAATGTTTCGCATATTTGATAAAATGTTGTCAGAAGTCAGCGATAATAATAATAACAAAATTAATGATTTGAACAAAATTTTATATACTATTCAAACAAACCCTGAATACGATTTGAGTCGCGACTTAATAAACCAGATCACAAGGAATGAGCGAATGATTAGATCTCTTGTTGACATCGTTTGCGAAAACTATGTTAACATTAAAGACAGAAAAGTGACGGAAATTAACTTAAGTCCCAATCTATTGGTGAAGGATGTGACCCTGTTTATTACATACTTCCGTTTTGTTTTAAATGTTAATATCAACTATAATTTAATAGTTAAGTCCAAACATGATGTTAGCGATCAATACAAAGACAATGCGAGGGAATGGGATGTCAAGAGTCCTCTATCAGTAAAATCGTCACAATTGGTGATAATGAGAGACACACCGGACTTATGGCCAATAGATTTGCAGACATTTATACAGGATTTGTGTGACTCTATTACCGACAATGGATTCCTATTAACTGTCTTCCGCTACAAGTTTACGGAACCGGAACTCGCGTTCAATTCACTGAACGGAAAGGCGGTTCTCAATAATACAGACCTCGAGAGTCGTATCGAAAAATGTATCAAATTATGTAATGAACTAAATCTGAGAAAAGTTTGCGCTAAATATGATGACATAGGAACTGTATGTTTTCTATTCAGAAAAGTTGTAAACAAAATCCCGGTTCCCGATAAAAGTAATATAATTAGTATAACGGGAAGTGATTATCAGAAATGGTTTGAAGTATTGCAACAAAAAATGATTGCCGCTAAGGATGCGGACAATAAGACTGATAACGTATGGCTTATAGCTAACGACTCGTGTATTAATGGTATCATTGGTTTAATGAATTGCTTAAAAATAGAGCCGGGTGGTGATACTGTTAAATATATATTCAATTACGACAGCACTGGTAGTCCAATGGATATAGACTTCAATGTCAGCCCTTATAGCGATATATTGGCCAACGATTTGGTGGCGAATGTCGTGAAAGAGGGAAAAGTGGGAACTTATCGACACTTAAGACTTCCCACGGATTACGACAAATGCCTCTCAAATGACTACTATTTAAATGCCGGACAAATTAAAGATTTATCAGGCTTACAGTGGTTTGATAGTAGAAACATAGCCATGGTTAAAAGTCAGTACGATGCCAATAATAACAAATTAAATAAAACAAGAGTAGAAATATATTGCGCCGGTATTACTTTCCACGACGTTATGACTGCAACAGGTATGCTATTCCCATGTACATACTGTTTATTGCTACTATAAACAGTATATAATATAATAAACATAACTTTTAATTTAATTATAACCATATAAACACTATTTACAATTACAGGTCGTATACCTCATGGCCCAGAAATCTTGTTCACAGACTGTACGCTAGGCTGTGAATATGCGGGCCGTAGAGCTGATACTGGGGAACGGGTGATGGGTATGGATATGGGCCGTACGTACGCCACATCATTGAATGCTAACATTCATAGCATGACTACAGTTCCCGATCANAATATCATCGTAAATTGCTCGTCAAAAGAGGACGAATTTTACCTGGATCACTGTGTGGATGGGAATGCCATACTGCCGGGACAGGCTTATCTAGTGATGGCATGGCGCAAGTTAGCCGCTACCCTGGGCAAAGTTTGGCATAAAGTGCCCGTTGTTTTCGAAAATATCCAATTTAAACGTGCCGTACATTTATCCCGGGCAAACAATGTTAAACTCACTGTTAAATACTATTCCCAAACCGGTAATAGTACCAGTTTATTTTTATTACGATTAAAATGGCTAATATTATAATTATTGTTATTTATGGCATAGCTGACTTTGAAAGTTAATTTTTATTTTTTAACTGTTATACACTATTTGTCTAAACCTAGATGATTTCTCTGTATACGAGAACGAAAACCTGTGTTGTGTGGGCAAAATCAGGGCACCGGGCGATGACGTACTCATATCGCAGCACATGATTTACGAGAACGAGGGAAAGTTATCAGATTGCGAGTACACACTGGAAAGGGATGACATCTATAAGGAGTTACGTATTAAAGGTCTCGATTACGGGCCGGAGTTTACGCGACTCCTAAAGTTTGGCACAAATGATTTCACCGATGTTTACGGTGTGAACGAGTGGACGGGCAATATTATCACATACCTGGACGCCATCACACAGTTGCCAATGTTGAGACTACC